GGAGGGCATGTTGTGCCCGGCGGGCGGGGGTGGACGAGGGGGGAGCACCATCGACGGCACACCGTCGCGCGAGTAGTAAGCCATGTAGGCCTACAGCCAGCCAGCCATGGGATTGAAACACACAGACAGACAGACAAGGTGGGAGGATGTTGTGTGTGTGAGTATGTCGGTGGGATGGGTGGGGGTTTGAGTGGGTGCCTTGCCCACCTGCTGTGAGAGGACAAACTCGTCAGTGAATTCGGCCACGGGCTTGGAGTCGTCATACAAACACCATCGACGGGGCCGGTCGGAGTCATCATCGTCTTGCACGAGGGCGTACGTGATATAGTGACCCCTTACAGCACTCGAACCGCTGTGCACCACAACGGCTAGCAACCACAGACACAAACAGAGGGAGAGAGTCACACACACGTGCGCATGGCTGCCTCCCCCCAGTCAGCTCACTCACCGGTCAGTTTGTGTTTGCCCCGATCGCCGTCCGATGACGATGCAGCCGCCGAGCCGTTGTTGGCGGCGTAGGCGTCGAGGTTCAACTCCAACCGCAGCTGCACGTGGGTCTTCACCTGCAGAGACACAGAAACAGGCCAACGGACGGATGGATGAATGGGATGGAGGGGTGTGGGTCGTCCCTCTCTCTCTCTCTCTCTCCATCCACTTCCGGCATTGTGCCCTCCGATATGGTGCTTTACGGAAGATGTCGAGAAGGCGCGGCAGCTTGGCGGTGATGCAGTACAAAGCTGGTGGGGTATAAGGCCGAGTCGCATCTCAGCAGCCCATTTGCAAGAAGGCCGGATCTCCCACCAAAGGCCATGGTGTGTGTGTACGTGATATAGGTACGAGTAGTGCACCGGCTCGTGTGTTGCGGCCTCCCCTCCCCAGCCGACCGAGGTTCTCGGTGGCCTTGTCTGCACACACACACGAATCAACCAGGCAGAGCAGTGAGCGGTGGTGGACTTCTCCTGCCTCCTGCTGTCTGTCTGTCTGTGTTGGTATCACCGCTCAGCGCGGCAAAAGTTTAGCCCATTCCGCCCACCTTCTCCTTCCGCATGGTGTACGACGCCCCACCTGATCGACAGACAGAGAGGGAGTCCAACCAGCGGTGCAGTCCGTGTGTGCGTCTTCTGTCGCCCTGTGCTGTGCTGCACTGTCGGGCGGCTCGGCTTCTCACTCTGCAGCAGGTATGTGGCCAGGGGGCGCACTCGCAGGATCTTCTGCAGCACTGATCTGATGAGAGCCAGCAGCTCTGGTCAATGTTGCAGAAGACCGCGTCCCGCGGCCACTGCAAGCCACGCATACAGCCACAACAGCACATACCATATAGGAGTGCACAATGCCCCGAGAGACGAGGGATACCCTCCAGGTCGCTCACCCTTTGTGTCCACTGCTCGTCGTACGCTGTCGGCGTGGCAAAGTTGGGGCTGTTCGAGGCCACTGTGAGCGTCGATGCCCTGCCCTTGGCTGGGGTCGGTGGAGGGTGACGGGGCGATGGCGATGGCGCCGCTGATCGGCATCGGGCCTCTCGGCCTGTGGACGACATGGTGGGCTGGGGTGCGTACTTTCCTCGGAATCTCATTTTTCGCGAGAGGAGCGGCTGTCTGTTCAAAGCTCCCAACAACAGATGCACTTCATTCTCACGGGCGCCATTCTGAGGAATGAAAGTTCGCCGTTTCAATTTACGGTTGCGAGCTCCCATTTCAAGCTCGCATTTCAAAAACACGAAAACGCTCTCTCGTCCAAAAGAAGGGCTTGCGGTTCGGTCAACGAGATGAGGAGGATGCCGCAGAGGGCATTGATCTTCGTGGGTGCGTGCCTCTTGAGCATCTCACAACCATCATGGGCAGCTGTGGAGCTCTGGGTGGGGCGAGAGAAGCAAACGCCACACGGCACTGACGCCAACTTCACAAGATCAGCGATCTGCTGAATTCATTCATCGTGTGATCTGATTGTTGCTTGTCTGTCAGGCGGAGTCGAGCCGGATGCCCATGAGGTCGGTCCAGAGCGGCGGGGAGGTCAGCACCCTTCTCAGTGGGGCCCTCAAGGTGAGCAAATGACAACCAGGGAGGGGTGACGGAATGAGTGGGACGTGTGTGATGTGTGTGCCAGTTTTCGCGCAAGGTGTACAACGCGACCAACTTCACCACCGATGCGTATGCGACGTTCAACCCGGGCGTGCTGCTCAAGGGCCCTTCCACACCTCAGGAGCTCCTCAACCTCTGCGACTCGCTCGTCCTCGAGGGGAAGGTCGGTGCAGTGCCATGACGGGGGGCGTGAGGCTGTCACATCTGTGCTTGTTTGTGTGTGTGTGCAGAGGGACGTTGGCAAGGGTCGTGTGACGGCCAACCTGAAGCTCACGGTGCCGACGAGGAAGCTCGACCTCATCGCACGAGGTAGGTGCTTGAGAAGGGCCAGAACTCACTCACCCCATCCATGGTATGTTTGCTGTCCGATCTTTCAGCTGAGAACCAGAAGGGCAAGAAGCTGACAGTCAAGATGGACAGCAAGTCGCCCAGGAAGATCAACTCGGTGGAGCTTTACAGCCCACTCACCATCAACGAAAAGAAATACGGACTCACCGTCGCTGAAAAGCTCGGAAACCGTAAGCAGGCACTTCAATCAAGCCCATCTATCTGTTTATCTGCTTTCTGTGTGTGTCTGCGGTTGGGCAGTGGACACCGAGGTGCGTCTGGAGGGTCCATTGAGGAACAACACGCGAGGCCTGCTGTCGGTGATTCTGAAGGCGGGCAAGGGCAAGCCCAAGAAGGGCTGGTTCGGCCACGAGGAGCTCTCCAACTTCGACCGGGTCGACGCCAGCATGAAGGTCGCGTTCACCGTCAACGAAGGCCGCGACACACTCACACCCACGCTGTTCTTGAAAAAGAGGTACGTACGTCAGCATCGACCGAACGAACTTGACACAACAATCAATCGCCCATCTCCCTCCCTCCCTCCCTCCCTCCCTCCCTCTGTGTGTGTGTATGTGTGTCAGGCCGAGTTATGAGTGGAAGAGAAAGCTTGACAACGGCGAGGTCAAGACGACGCTCAAGGACGGCCTCCTGGGTGTCGATTTCGCCGACGCGGCCAAGAGCGGCGGCAAGTGGCACGCGCGGTTCAAAATGCCACTGCAGAACGCAAGAGCATCCACCGTCGAATTTCGGAGAGAAATCACATTCTGATGGATGCTGTTGTGAGATGAATGAGATCCACTGGCTGGCTGGCTGGATGAGAAGAGAGACTGGCTTGGCTTGCTTGTGGTCTGCGAATGAAGCTATGTCTTATGGATGGTTGATTCGTTGATATCCGGCTTGGTCAATTCGTTCGGCGGTTTTCAAGCATATGACGGTACGTATTGAGATCTCGCTGACTGGGTGTGGCTGGTTGGTTGGCTGTCTGGCTGGTTGGTTGGTTGGCTGGGGATACGTGTGGTACGTTCATCTCATCCATCTATCCATACCTCTATCTACCTGTTTGTGTGTGTATGTGTATGTGTGTGTGGTGGGTTGTGCGAGCGGGTGGGAGGGTGCCATTCATTGTGATATTGATTGAGGCGAGATGAGAGCTCTCTCTTGTGATTTGTACAGATCAGATCGATGAAGAATAGTTTGCTTGCTCCCTCCCT